GAATCGGGGCCTGAAGAATCATATTTTGAGCAGCACGCCTCTATAAATCAACAAGGTTAACTTTCTCCCATCCAAGTACTAACCAGGCACCTAATTTGCCACCTGCTGTGGGAGCTACAATGTTCAATTGTCACTGCTTATTTAAAACAAAAATTCATTCATTCTACAATGAAATCATTCAAATTTGGTCCATCTTCAGTATAAACTGTACTAGTTCAAAAAACTGCTTAGCATAAGGCTGTGATATGGTTTTTGTTGTAATTTACACTTTGTTTGTTTACACCGGGGACCAAAATATGGGTCAAAATCATAAAAGAATTGCCACTTAAAAAATATGTATGAGCTATTGATATAGCTCAGTGGTAGAGCACTTGCCTAGTATACCTGAAGCCCTAAGTTCAATGTGCAGCAACACACACACACACACACACACACACACAGTGTGCCTACAGTCCCAGCTACTGGAAAGGCTGAAATAAGAAGGATCTCTTCGGTTCAAGAGTTTGAGACTAGCCAGGGAAAATGTAGCAAGCCCCTGTCAAATATGAAACAAAACAAAAATCCAACTATTTGGCAATTTCTACTAAAGTCAAACATATCTCTATGACACAAAAAATTCAACTTCTTGAAATTTAGGGCAATATCCACCAAGAGATTTGTATAAAAATATTCATAGCAGTACACTGGCACATACCTGCAGTCCCAGCAAGTGGTACAAAGGTGTATTAAGAATTGTAATGCAAATCACAATGAGGATCACAAGTTCAAGACCAACCTCAGCAATAAGCTTAGACCCTGCCCCATAATAAAAAAGGGCTGGGGATATAGCTAAATGATAAAGCATCCCTGTGTTCAATCCCTAGTACTGCCAAAAAGAAAAAAAAAAAACACGAAAACTTCATAGCAGCATTTTTCATAGTAGCCAAAAACTAAGATGGATCATTTAAAAAAAATGTATAAACAAACTGTGTTCACACAATGATATACTTGACCTCAGGGGTCAGCAAGCTATGGTGGGGTGGACCAAACTAAGCCTGCCACCTGTTTTTGTAAGGCCTGAAAGTGGAGAATGGTTTTTACATTTTTACATGAAAAATATAATAATTATTATTATTTTAAAAAATATTTTTAGTTGTTGATAGACTTTTATTTATTTATATGTGGTGCTGAGAATCCAACCCAGTGCCTCACACATGCCAGGCAAATGTGCTACCGCTAGGCCCCAGCCCCAGCCCAATAATTATTTTTTGACACATGAAAACTATCTGAAATTTAAATTCAAGAGGTCATAAATAAAGTTATACTGGAACACAGCCATGCTTATTAATTTATGCACACTGTCTATTGCTGCTTTCACACCATAAAATGAGAGCCAAGTGGTGGCAACAGAGACCCTGAGGCCTGTAAAATTGAAAATAGTTATGATCTGGTCCCTTACAGAAAAGTTTGCCAACCCCTGCTATGGAGCAAGAGACGAAAAGAATTGCAACAGCAGAAGCATCATGTAGAGTGTAAAGAGCCAGGCAAAGGAGTGCACACGCGTGTGTAATTAATAACTAATTCTTCTTCCTTTTTTTTTTTTTTTTTGCAGTACTAGGGATTGAACCCAAAGGCACTTTACCATGGAGCCACATCCTCAGCCCTTTTTCTTTTGAGACAGGGTCTAAGTTGCCCAGGCTGAACTTGAACTTGTGATCCTCCTGCCTTGGCCTTTAAGCATCTGGTATTACAGGTGTGCACCACCTGTGTGCCGACTTGTAATTCTTCTTTAGAAAGTCCAGAACAGGTGGAACTAACTGTGTGTCCATAAGTCCCAAGAATGATCCCTTGATAGATACGTCACTGGCCACGAAGAGGGACAAGGAAGCCTTTGGGGTGACGGACATGTTCTGTATCTCCATATGGATGGTGGGTACACAAGTGTAAACGTATGTACGCTTGTACCCAGCTGCACGTGTGTAGTCTGTGCACTTCTCACCTTATCATAGGTATGTTACAGACTTGATTTTTAAAAGTAGGAGCAGGAAAAATAAGAGGGATAAAAAAATAAACCCATCTCTTGTGAATTTGGTGTCACATACCTTATCCACAAACAGAGATTGGATAAATTGCGGTATAAAGGTGTATTAAGAATTGTAATGCAAAAAAAAATTATGAATGTAATGCACTCCTCTATTGTGATGTAAGAAATAATAAAAATAAATAAATAAATAAATAAATAGACCCATCTCCAAAGATTGATAAAGATCTCAGATCAAAGCCAAACCAAGGCTAAACAACCATAAACACAGATAATAACAAGTGCTGGTAAGGCTGTGGAGGAGTTGGAACTTTCATATCCTGCTGGTGGGTCTGTAAAATAGTGTGGCCACTCTGGAAAAGTATGGAAGTTCCTCAAACTGTTAAATGTAAAATTATCATGTGACTCAGCAATTCCACTCCTAGGCATAAACTCCAGAGAAATAAAAACACATGTCAGGGGCTGGGGATGTGGCTCAGTGGTAGAGCACTTGCCTAGCATGTGTGAGGCACTGGGTTCGATTCTCAACCACATATCAATCAATAAATAAAATAAAGGTTCATTAACATTTAAAAAATATTTTTAAAAAACACACGTCAACAGACATGTACACATGAATGTTCCCAGCAGCATTATTCATAATAGCCAAAAAGTGGAAAGAGCTCAAATGTCTACCAACTGGTGAATGCACAAATAAGTTGGGGCGTAACCATCCATGTAATGGGATGTTGTTCGACGATATAGAGGATGAAGTACTGATACATGCTATGACAAGGGTGAATCCTGAAAAGACTGTGCTGTTGAGGGAAAGTAGTCAGTAAAACTTAATCACATTGTATGTCTCCATTTCTATGAAATATCCAGAATGGGAAAATCCATAGAGACAGAAAGTATATTACAAATTGAGATGGCACAAACCTGTAACCCCAGCAACTTGGGAGGCTGAGACAGAAGGATCTCAAGTTGAAGGCCAGCCTCAGCAACTTAACAAGACCCTGTCTCAAATATTAAAATTAAAAAAGGTTGGAGAGCGCTGGGGTTGTAGCTCAGTGGTAGAGCGCTTGCCTCACACACGAGGCCCTGGATTTGATCCCCAGCACCACAGAAAAATAAATAAATAAAAATAAAGATATTGTGTCCATCTACAACTAAAAATTTTAAAAAAGGGCTGGAAGTGTGGCTCAGTGGTAAAGTCCTCTGGATTCAACCTCCAGTACCATTAAAAAAAAAAAAAAAA